ACACACACACACACACACACACACACACACACACACACACACACACAGCTGTTTATATCTTGGATAGCAAACCCCGATCAGAGAAACTTGATAGAGACTTTTTTCCTATTTGACCATTTCTCTTCTTATCCTACATGCATCAACGCTGTCTGTGAAGAAACGTTTTACTTTCCAGTTCCCTCTTCCCCGTATTATGTTTCTTCAGTTCATCTTGTAAAGGGGCCCTGTTCCCACGGGCTCTCTTCCTCTTCTCCCAACCCCCTCTTCTTGTCTGATGTCCCTTTCCCTTTAGGTTTCTTAGTTGTTTTTTCTCTCCTGCTTTCATGCAGTTATCTATTTCTCTTCCCCATTCCCACACCCTTTCTTCTTCCGGGTGGTCAAGCAGATTCATTCCTCTGTCTTCTCTACCCTTTCAGCTATTCCCGGTTCCATAGCTTTTAACTTCTGTGTGAGCATGTGTCCCTTTCCAAAAAGGATTTTCTCTTCCTCTCTTCATTATCTATAGTCTCTGTTTACTCTACTCTCTCATTCTCTTATTCATGAACCCTGTAATTATGTAGTCTCTCTTTTCTCCCTATTCTTTATGCAAATCAAATGTCCATTCCAGGCTCTCCTCAAGGTGCTTTCTGACCCCGCCTTGCAGGGCATGCCCCATGGATCTCCAGTTCTCATTATATAGCGTTTTCAGAATAACGTCAATTATTTGCAGGTGTCAGAGAGGACACTGCTTCACGGTGGGGTTCCTCCTCTACCATGTCCCTGCCTATGTACCCCCGCTGATCTACACACTCTCTTTTTGACCATTTTTCCTCCATTTGCCTGGAAATCTCATGTCCGTGTTCTCCCACTCCTCCAGGTGCCAGCTGCCCCCAGGGGTTCTAACTCCCCCCATCATTTCCCCAGTTCTCATCCAGTATAGCTTCCTTATCTCCCTTCACCAACCATTTCATTTCAATCATGGGAGCATTCATCAACCAACGGAACCTTCCTTTTCAATCTTTACCTCCTCCTTCTCCCCTGCTCTCCTATAGGCTCTTCACTTTCTGAGAATACAGAGGTTACATTCCTCTCATTGCTAGCCCTTGATTTGACCCCAGTGAATCATTTACTCCTCTCCATCCCCCTGCTCCCTCCCCCTTTATGTACCTTCCAAGAAACATTCACCTATGGGCAGGGCATCACCAGGTTCTGTCCATAATGCCCCCTATCAGCTTCTACTGTGACCTCTATCAGATTTCTGCCTTTATCCTTGTCTCCCAGTATACATTTAGAAAGAAATCTCTTCCTGGTCTCTCTGGTGTCACCCCTACTGTTACTGTCCTTGCCTGCTACATATATTCACTCCTGCATACCTATTGTTTGGGAGGCAAATACTCTCATTATAATGCAATATCCATCTTTTGTCTTGTATAGCTAAGCTCAGATTTGAAGATAGGTCACCCTAGGCAGCACCCTGAGCTCCAGTACTCTTAGGAACACATTATTCCATTCCTTTCTTCTTTTACTGGTGGGTGCAGAATAGTCTTGTGTTATCTGAATGTTCTTTCCTTTGTGTTTGAAAGCCTTTCTCCTGATGGCTTGCAGAACTTGTTGTTTTGAACCAAAGTGTCAAATTTAACCATTATGTATCTTAGAATTTAAAGCCTTGGGTTATGTTAAAACCCACCCCCCGTGATTTGTGAGATTTGTGAATTCTTCCAACTAGAATTACATTTTCTATATTTAAAAGTTCTAGGCAGTTCTCTATTATTTCCTTCATCATGGTGTTACAGTTTTTTGTCTTATGTTCTTCTAGAAGACCTATAGTCTCCTTAGGTTATTTCTACATATCCTGTCTTCAAGTTTGGTATGTTTCGCTTGTATGGTGGGGATATTTTCTTTTAATGTTCTTGTTTTTTGCTTCTCTTCTTCCAGGTTGTCCTTCACTTTTTTTTTTTTTTTTTGGTGAGACAATCGGGGTTAAGTGACTTGCCCAGGGTCACACAGTTAGTGAGTGTCATAGGTCTGAGGCCAGATTTGAACTCAGATCCTCCTGACTCAGGGCCAGTGCTCTATCTACTGTGCAACCTAGCTGCCCCTGTCCTTCACTTCCATGTATTTGCACTCCCAATCTCTTGTTCTTGGTTTTGTTTCTTTGGTGATGTTTGACACTACAGATTCAAGTTTTTCCTATTCTGCTCATTATTTTGCTATGTAGGACATAAATTCTGCTTTCATAATTCTCACTTCTCTTTTGCACCACTCAGGAGCAGCATATTATAGTTTCACGTTCTCAAATTCTACAGGGTCCTCTGTCTCATCAAGTGTTGGGTCATTTTCCTTCATTTTGCCAAATGAAGATGGCTGAACTTGTTTATTATGTCTGAAGGCCATACTTTCTTCTGTTGGTACTATTTTTCCTGTTGATTTATCTGTTTTACGTACAAGGTTTTTTTTCCTCTTGAAATCTTGGGTATTTTCAGTCTTTTTCCCCTCCTTATTTTGCTTACCACTCACTTCCTTCTGATGGTGATTTCCTTGGTGGATGGATCTCAAAGTATCTCAATCTCCTCCCACGCAGAGCAATTAATTGTTCACTGCCTGGATCTCTGCTCCAAATGATTTCTGGATGGTCAGAATTGGCCCCAACTGGATGCTGAGCCCTTCTTCTCAGTCTTGTTTGGGTGCTGCATGGCTTCCAATATGTAGTATGGTGGCTTGTCCCACTACCTCCGTTCCTCAGTTCTCTGGCTTGGCATCAATAGTTCAGAGCTTTGTAGTACTGATACTTTTGGACTGTTTCCCCCAGCAGACTTTTGTTCTTCAAGAGCTACAGCCAAACTGGCTGTCAAAGCCTGAGCAAGCTTCTGCGCCCTGGAGCCGGCATCTACATGACACTGCAGAGGAAGGGGACTAGGGTTTATGAGGTGGGTTTTGATGTAAGCATGTGTTGTGTCCTTGGGATCATAAGTGTAGTCTCTCAGCTGGTAGTGGAAGATGGGGGAGGGGTGCATAGTGAACTCCAAAGTCAGTGAGTATTTGTGTGTGTGGTATTTGGATTTTTTTGTTTTTTTACCATCTTTTAGATTCTGGGTGTTTAGACCCAAAATTAGACTATTTTGGAGAGGTCATGGTGATTGGAAAAAATGTCTAGTCTGCCATCTTTTTGCTCACATGACCCAGAAGTCCAGGAGAACAATTTATACAGTAACAACAACATTTTAAAGACTTAGTCAATACAATGCCCAATTACAACTCCAGAGAATTAATGATCAAACATGCTACCAACCTCCTGACAGAGAGATGATGGACCCAGGCTACAGATCAAGACTTTTTTTTTTTTTTTTTGAAAGACATGGCCAATCTAGGAATTTGTTTTGTTTGACTCTATGTGTCTCTAACAGGAATAAATAAGTAAATAAGTGAATAAATAAAAATATATGTATACACACAAAAAAACAATGCCAGAATTTAAGGGTTTTTGACGAAATTCCTTTCATTATTGAATAAATTGTTTTAGTATTTTTGAGCGCTACATTTTGCTGAAGACTTCCTGCATTCATTTGTGGAAGCTTTTTCTTACTGATTTGTTTAACCATCGTTACTGTTTTTCTTGGTGTTGAGCTGTCCTTTTATTCATTGTGTGGATCCAATAAATTCACAAAATGAATTTTTAAAAAACGTTACTGTGGCCTTTTTGATAATATTTTATTTAAAATATGTAAATCTCTACATGAAAAAAGACAGTACAAATATTAGCTGGGAATTCAATTTGCGTGGGAGAATTGTGCTTTGGATTTAAGTGTAAACATTAAGATTAAATTAAATCAAAGTTGCCAAAACTGTACCCTTAAGTAGTATCTGACAAAAGGCCTATTTGGTTCTTACCACCAGAAAGGAAAAGTGTCACCTCTACATATTAAGCCCTGGAAAGGAGACTGTTCACATTCAAAAGTCATCCCATGCTCTCTAAGACTCCAAATTTCAAAAAGGAAGCACATTATGATGGCCCCAACTTCCTAAGATATATCTGTATTTCCACAGCTGCAACAGGGTTCATCAGGAAGCAATAATTTTCTGACTTCAAAGGGAAAGAGAGCATTTGGATAGTTACAGCAGTTACAGGCTCCTAACACTCATGTGTTAAAATGAATAACCTGACAGGCTCTTGGTGGTTACTATCAAGTGTGAGAGAAAAACAAATAGAAGCACGTGGTTTATAAAAAATTCATTAGCCCTTACTTGTTCTGCGGTGAACAGGGTCGTGTTAAATACTGGCACATCGGGAGAAGAAGAAAAGCAAAAGCTATCGTTGCAAGAACTAGAGAAAGAAAAGACAATATTAATATGTTAATACTTGACACTCGTGTAAAAGCTCTCTTTGATATCAGTTCTCTTTGTATTTCCTCCCAACACATGTTCCATGACCCCAATTCAATAGTAAGATAAAGCCTTTCTACAGAGCTGACCGCTCATCTAACTGTTACTAGTTCTCAAGGAGGGAAGCTCAAAAGGATCACAGCTTTACCACTGAAGGCATCTCTAGAGCTCCTCTAGTCCCCCTATTCTACAGAGATGGAAACTGAGTCCCAGAGGTTTACTGAGGTCACATAAAGGCAAGGAGCAGAGCCCAGACTTGAATACAAGACCTGTCTCTAAATCCAGCATTCTTTTCATTACTTCATGCTGCCTTGACTTTGACAAGGCAATGGATGCTCTCTGCTTACATCTTCCCATACTGCACCCTTAAAAACAAAAGTTGTAGGGCAAGAGACTGACAATCAAGTACCCAGTGGGAAGCCTTTGGGCATTTAGAGTTTGGTTAAGAGTTATATTTGTGTGCCCTATTTAACATTTGAAAATTGTACTCTTATCCACCAATATTATTATAACATACAACTTATCACACAATAAATATGCACATGCCTTGGAGAGGAGAAAGTATTAAACATGTACACACAGCAATACACGGTAATGGTAATGATAAAATGTACACTTCACTGCCCCCTTCCCCACAACCCTAATCCCATAGGTTGGGCCCCAAATGTCTGCTTACTTTGCCTAATCCTAGTCGGGGCTCTGAAACTTACTACTATGAACTAGAAGTAGAGAATGTCAAAGAGTGGTTGGTCAACTTTCTACAATGGCAACAGACATATATCATGATTATTATCATTGTTAGGCATGTCTGGACATTAGGGAAGGATCTGGAAGTGTATTAACACAAATAAGGCCACGTACAAAACCCTCTCTCATTAATTCTCACTTGCTTGAATTTTCTCCTTGTTCTTTCTGTCTTTTGGCAGGTCTGGACACAATAGGAGCAAGGGCTTAAGCTATTATTATTAAAAATTTTTTTATTCTGAAATTAAACACCAATCAAAATGGTCATTTCTATATACAAAGAACAGAAAAAAGAGGCCTATACATGAAACTGTGGATGTCTAGTACGTACCATTTGCTTTTCTTTTTAAATATATAATAAATTCATCATGTAAGTTTCAAAACTGTCCTTTCTTCATGGTCTTCCTTCGGTTCCTTTCTGTACTTTGCTTTTAAAAAATGCTTAAATGGCCCTCCTCTTTCCTTTTTTGGGGGGATATTCTACCCCTAACAACCTTGCCACCCCACTTTTTCTTCCCAAACTGAAAAGAAAAGCCAAAGGCCTAAGTTATCATAAGTCCTCTCTATGTAAACATTTGAGGAGTCAGATTTCATGGAAATAAAAACATGTACAGTACATACTACACAAATGCATCTTTATCCCTGGAGACCCTAGAAAGCCAAGTTTTTTTCCTTTCAATAATGTTACAATCATAAGTAAATAGGGAGAACCATTTACCTGCTGTACATATTGTAAAAACTACTTGAACAGAATCAAAGAAGAAAAACATGACTAGAAGGGAGACAGATGCTCCAATGGGAAGGAACAGTGCTTGGGTGGAGTCAATAGTTTGGATACCTGCAAAAGAAAAACAGGACAGATTCCATTAGGTCCTTATGAAATAAAACACACCCAGCTGGGTTACTCCCAGAATCATATAACATGTGGGTTATTCAGACTCTTTGTTTCTCTTCTTTTTCCTATTATTCACCTTCTGTATAAAGGACAACTTCCCCCAAGAACAGTGAGGGATAGTGAGATTCAAACTAGCTGATTTGAGGAACGTGTTCATTAAAAGAACATGGTGAAAAGATCTGATGAGTGAAGTAGTTACAGCGCTCTTTTAAAATGCGTTCTGATTTGGTGTAGATTTTATTCATGTCCTCTTTTCCCTGCTGCTACTGATAAAGTAAGAATTGGCCACAGAAAACAATAGGCACTCCCTGGAAAGTTTGGGCAGGGTTGTGTGTATCAACAGCTTCAATGCAAACCTTAAGAAGTGTACATTCCAATAATGATTGGCATATTTACATGGTAATTTACTGTATGCTAAGCCCCTTACAGAGTTTCTCTCATTGGAACCTCACCAGGAGACTGAGATGGGCAATGCATGTGGTCATGCAGTAAGCACTGGACGTGGGATGTGAAAACTGGCCTTCCTGACTCCATGTACTATATTTTCTCTACTAGGCCAGAATGTTCTATTACAGGATGCGACATGTACACAGGGCACTTTACATTTATGTGTTTGTATAAGTACAGGGGGCAAAGGAGAGACCTGACGAAGTGCCCCAGTAATACCAGAGGGAGAGACCGCTGTGGATACCAGGCAAGGCTAGCTAGACGTGACCCACAAGCAGAGCTTTGAAAGAAGCAAAGGAATCTGAAAGATGAAAATGAGGACAACACAGGGTTTTTAAAATTTAACTGAATCTTTTTTCTCATTGCTGCAGTCGTGAAGTAGTTTTTTTTGGTCCACGTTTTTCCATGAATCCTGCAAAGGGGTTCCAAACAAATTCTCCTAGGTCTCTGTCTCTCTTATTCCATGACCAGCCCTTCCTCTCCCTGTCATCTACCTTGATTTCTTCTCTGTAGCTTCTGACACAGCTGACTGCCTTGCTCTTTGGGGACATCCTCTGCTCTCTGGGTTGTGGTGACTGCTCTTTTTTGGTACTCTTCCCATCTGTCGGATCGTTCCTTCTTGGTTCTCTTAGCTGGATCACCCTTCACATTCTGCCGCCCTAACTGTGACCGTACTCCAAGGCTCCTTCCTGGGTCCCTTTCTCTTCTCTTTCTACATCTATCCACTTGGTGACAGACCAGGACAGATCATCAAGTTCCATGGACTGGACTACCGTTTTCTGCAGATGATTTCCAGATCTATATATCCAGCCCTGGCCTTCATCCTGAGTCCATGGCTGCCTACTGGCATTTCCAACTCTGTGTCCCACAGGCACCTCAAACTTAACATGCCCCAAACAACTCAATCCTCCTTATCTCCAAAATCTGCCCTTCTTCCAGCCTGCCCTATCTTTGTTCAGGGGATGACTGTTCTTTTGAGTCACTAAAGTTTCTAACTTAGGAGTGACCCATGACTTCTTTACATACAATCAATTTACATACAGCGAGTCCCGTCAGTTTTACTTCATCATCTCTCTCTTCTCCAATGACACGGCTACTACCCTACCTGGTCCAGGCTTTAGCCCTTTTGCTCGACTAGTGAAACAGCTCCTAATTTGGTGTCTGCCTCGAATCTCAAAGTGACAGTCCTAAAGCACAGGTCTGGCCATGCCACCCCCTGCTAAAGGAGCTCCAATGACTATCTAGGATCTCTGTTTGGCATGGAAAGACCCTGCCGCTGGTCTAGGCTTAATCTACATTATCCTCTGCAGTCTAGCCAGAACGGCTGCCTCACTGACGAGTCACGCTCCATTGCCTGCCTGTCTGTGGCCAGACTCTCCCCAGTGCCCAGGGCATCTTTTTCTTCCTCTCTGCCTCACAGAATCCCTTGATTCCTTCACAGCTCACCTTATGCACCACCTCTTACAGGAGGCTCTTTCCTGACCTTTCCTCCACTGTTAGTGACTCTTGCTCCCTAAGAAAAATCATCTGGTATTTACTTTGTATATATATTCCTTACAGATTTATATGTGTATTTTATTTTGGTAAGACATACACTCCTTAAAAATTGGGACTATGGTTTTTTTTGTCTTTAAATTTCCAGCATCATGCACGGTACCTGGTTTTTATAGTAGGCACTTAATAAATGCTTGTAGGCTGATTGGTCTTTTATGCCCCTTCATGGAAATTCTCATCAGTAACATGCATTAGTTTACATAGGCTCACTATAGGTCTCTCCATGGCCCTTTGGCAGCTTTGAGTCTTCTAAGCCTGGTATTTATTCTGTTAATTATAGCCATGTGTATAACCAGAAGCATATTGTTATTAAAAGGATGGGTTTTTGTTTGTTTGTTTCAAGGAGCAACTTGAGATCATTTAAAGCACATTTGCAAATGCAAACCTGCCCACTGTCTTCTTATTTACTTTTGGGTCCAACCTTTTTTGTCCATTTATGGTGTCTGGTCAAGACACATTATAACATTTTTATGCCAGAGTCTCTGAATGCACCTTCATTTTTACAATGGAGTCAGTTCAATTCAGCAAACATTAAATACCTACTATGTGTAAGGCATTAACGCTAGGTGCTAGGGATGCAAAATGCCATGATCCTAAGTGTAAAACAAGAATGATGATTTTATACTTGGGGCCATTTTCATATCAGGCAATAAAGAACTGGGGAAAGCAGCAGAGGTGGTGGGAGCAGCAGATAGGAAAGACATATTGGGATGGAGAAGAATCTGCCTATTGGAGGAGTCTTATGTCTGTAAGGCATCTAAGTTTATAAAGCACTTTTCCTTCCAACAACTTTTGCAAGGCATGCAGTTTAGTATTATCCTCCCCATTTTCTAGAAGAAAGACTTTCAATGCCAACTTGAGGAATTTACATTTCATCTTAGAGGCAATAGTGAGCCAATGAGGACAAGAGAGACATGGTTGGACGTGTGCTTGAGGAAGATTATCTTGATAGCTACGGAGAAGATAAGTTGGAAATGGAGACACTGAAGACAGAAGACCAATTAGGATGTTGGGCAATTCAAGTGAGAGCTGATAGGGCCTGGAGTAGGTTCTCTCTTCTCCAAACCAGCCTTCACACAGCGGATGAACTTAACTAGGCTGGTCCTAAGAAAAAAACATGTAGTCCCATAATCTAGACTATTATGTTAGGCCTGAAATAGTGGCCTACCCCACAAACTGATCTCTTTAAATAGTCAAGGCACAGGTCTGAGACTATCATTCCCTCTGAGCATGATTTTCCTAACAAATATCAATGTTTATTTTTCTCCTACTTGGGAGAATCAAGTTGGGGTTACCCGAGTGCAAAGTCTTTAATGTTTGTCAACACAATCAAGGTTCCTAATAGAGAGGGCAGACAAGAGAAGGTGGAATTGGAATTATAAGATTTAAAGCTAGAAGGGACCAAATACCTGCTTTCACACATGTGCAAACTGAGATCCAGGGAAGCTAAGTGACTTGCTTAAAGTCACACAGGTAGTAACCAGCAGAGTTTAAATTCAAACTCAGGTCACAGAATCACATAATTTGAGTTGAAATGGACCTTAACCATCATCTTTTCCAATTTATAACTGAAAAGGAATCCTCACTATAACAGACGCAACAGATAGTCATCCGGCCTCTGCTTGGAGACTTCCAGTGAAGGGGAACTAACGATCTGAGGCAGCCCCTTCTACTTCTGGGTGTGGGGAAGGAATAAGCATTTAAACAGCACCTACTCCATGGCCAGGCACTGTGATAAGCACTTTTTACAATTATTATCTCATTTGATCGTCACAACAACCCTGGGAAGTAGGTGCCATTATTATTTCCATTTTACAATTGAGAAATCTGAGGCAGTCAGAGGTTAAGTGGTGTGTCTAGAGTCACACATCCAGTAAGTGTCTGAGGTTGGATTTGAACTCGGTTTTCCCAACTCTAGGCCTGGCACTCTCTGCACAGTGGCACCACCAGTTGCCTCGAAGTGTTTCCTAACATCAGTGTCTAAATGTTTCTCTGCATGCCCCGCCAGCTGCTTCTAATTCTGCCTTCTAGGTCCAACAGGAATAATTCTAATCCCTCTTCCACATGGCAGTTCTCCAAATTCTTGAACACAGCCATTGTATCCCACCCCACTCCAATCCATGCTCCACCCAGTCACTCACGGGATTTTCCTAACAAACAGGTCCAATCATGTCACCTCCCTACTCATTAAACTCCAGGGACTCCCTATTGCTTCCAGGATTGCAAGTGCTCCTGTTTGGCCTTCAAAGCTCTCAGTGCATGCTGACCCTGGCATGGGGAGTTAGTTACCCCTCCCAGTTTCCAATCATCTGCACATCTGAGAAGTGTGTCCCTGGGACCAAGCACAGATCCCTGGAGCATGCCTCTGGAGATATTCTTCCAAGCTGGTATCAAATCATTAATGGCTAGTTATTAAGTTAAGAAGCATTTATTAAGTGCCTACTATGTGCCAGGCACTGGGGACAGGAAGAAAGACAGTGCTTGCTCACAGTCTAACAGAGGAGACAACAGGCAGACAACCACGGACAAACAAGATCCATGCAGGATAAAATGGGAGAAAAATCAACAAAGGGAAGGTACTCAGGAAGACCAGGAAGCCAGGAGGGAGAAAGGCCCAGGCAGTGGGGGGAAGGGGAAGTTGCTCTGATTCCCAAACCAATTCCCAAGCTTACTGAGCCAAGTAATTTGTCCGACTACATATAAGATTTCTAAGGGCTGGCAGTGTTTTGTTTTCATCTGTATCCCTAGCATTTTGTGCACAATGGGAGATCAATGATTATTTATATGAATACAAGTTACATTTCTCTTCATCTTTTCCAGCGGGTGCTTCCTATTTAGGAGTCTTCAAAAATCTCCATTCTGAGTTCTCCACTATTCCAAATACCATTAACACACAGACACACACTCTGATGTACATTCTACTGGACCTATGACCTCTTACA